CCCATCTTTTCAAAAGCAACCGTCCCAACCTTGACGGTTCTATCGGGCCGGCTGTCGTCTAGGACGACATCAATGCTCTCACCTGACGGCTGGGGTCGGAAGTGTTCCGACCTTTCCCCGGTTAGTGATTGTTATTGTTTCTCTTTTCTGAAGAGGGCCATTTGGTCCACCTTTCTCTTTTTACCGGCTGCTTTGGGAGCAGGCGCGGCTTCCTCGTCATCAAGGCCGACGGGCTCCTCAGTATGGCCGGCTTCTATAGCAGTCGGCTTGACGTCTGAGAGGTAGCACTCCCTAGCCGTCTTCTGGTCCCCGCGCGGGGCACTGACTGACCCGTCATCCCTCTCAAACTTGATCATCATGAGGGATGGGATGATGACTAACTTGGACTCGTTGAGGGTAGGACGGTCCAGAATGAGATTGTAGGTGGTTAATTCCTCGACCACCAAGAATTTGACGACCATGTGCCGCCCTTTCCCCTTCTCTCCTAGCCGGATAGGTAGGTCAATTCTCCCCACCGGATGCACTACTCCCCCCCCCCCCAAAGCCAACTAGGGGGTGAGGAGCCTTGTGCATGCTGCTAGGCTTGTACTTGAGCTTTGCCAAGTACTGGTAGCTGATCAGGTTAGACGAGCTCCCGGTATCTATTAATATCCGGCCAACTCGTTGATTGGCAACCTTGCATTTGATGACGATGGGGTCATCATGGGGCCGCCTAACCGTACCCCGATCCTTCTCAGAGATGAAGACCTCAGGAAAGGCGTCTTTCGACGCCTGGCCCTCATCCTCTAGGTTGGACAGTTTCCGGATGTTATCCTTGGTACCCCGGATAGTAGGACCTCCGCCTGCGAAGCCGCCTGCTATGGTGAAGATGTGCTCTTTATTAGTATCAGAGCTCACAGCCGGCTTCTTTAACGGTTGTCCACTGTGAGATTTGGGGTTACCCTTGGACTTCACCAGGTAAGATTTCAAATTGCCCTCATCAGCCAGACGGTCCAATAGCCGCCTGAGGCTATAGCAACCATTGGTGTCGTGGCCGACATCCTCATGGAACTTATAGTACTTGCTCTTGTCCCGGTTTTTGATAGAGCTCTTCATTGCAACCGGTTTTTCGATGGTCAACCGGTCCTTGATCTCCATGAGGATGGAGGAGCAGTCCGTGTTGAACTTGTACTTGGGGACGTACGGCTCTAACTTTCTCTGTTTCTTCTGGGACGGCTGACCAGTGCGGTCTGCTGCCCAGACTTCCTTTCTTTTCTTTTCTTCTTTTTTCGCCGACTGTGCAGGCCGGCTATCCCTCTTGTCGGACCGTCTGTGCTCCGACGAGTGCTTGATAGCACAGAGTTCCGTCGCCTGTATGTAGGCTTCAGATTCCATCAAAGCCTCTTGGAGGGTAGCCACCCTCTTGCGGACTAGGTCGAACTTGAAGGTCGACCCATCCTTCAGACCCTTGAAGAAGTTTGTATATGTAACTTCATCAGACAGCCCTTGAATCTGAATTCTCATCAGATTGAACCGCCTGACATAGGACCGTAGTCCCTCCTTGTCTCCCTGCTGGATAGCCCCTAGGTCGAGACTTGTCTTTTTGGCAGGGATGTTCATGGAGAAGTTGGACATAAAGAGGTACACAAGCGTCTTGAAGCTGTTTATGCACCCGGCTGGCAGGTCGCCAAACCATCGTTGGGCTATGCCCTTCGAGGTAGCCAGGAAGCATCGGCACCAAGCGGCATCATCCAACCCCTGTAGGTACATGAGGTTGGTGTATACCATTAGGTGGTCTTACGGGTTGGTGGTACCGTCGTAGATACCTACCAACACATTTTTAACCTTGGCCGGATGTGCCGCCTCGGTTTTCTCCCGGGAGAAAGCCGAAGGCTGTTCCCCAAGGTTGAGCAGCCGGAGCTGCTAGTCCATGGGCTGGACCTGATGTCCCGCCTGCCCCCCAAAGGGGGACGGCTGCATGTATGGTGATCCATACGTCATGTATGGTTGTTGGGGCACATACGGAGCCGGCTGGATGATATGAGGGCCAGTACGTGCGGACGTGCCACGTGACTGACTCCCTTGATGCGTTTCCGAATGCTTCATTGAAGTATTGCGGAAACTGTCTGGGTAAGTCGCGTCGAGGCCGACCCAGACATTTGCTGACTTCTCTTCTTCTTGATGAACATCCGGGAGTCAGAGAAAGTCTTCTTTGACCCATCCGGCTGTACTTGCCAGATGGCCTTCTTTTGCCCTGATTCAGGGAAACGAAGCTTTGAGAGGTCGATCAGGGGCCCATCCGTCCCCTTGGGTTTGGGGTGAGGAGTAGGCACCCGGTCTTTAATCTGCTTCTTCCTGGAGGGAGAAGGTTTCTTGGCCGACTGACCCTTGTTTGAGCCAGTTGACTTCTTGATTATGTCTTTCATTTCCCCTTTGAAACTCGTCATGAATTGCATGAGCTCGTCTCTGGTGACGGGGGCTGCACCCTCCGCCGCCTTGCCCAGCAGGCTTGCCACCTGGGTTGCTGGGTCCAACTTTGTCTTGGCCCCGTTCCCATGTTTCTTTGGAACGGACGCGCCTTGTTCGAAGTGACCCGTCTAGGGCCACATAGGTGTGCCTCATAGTCGTCACTACTATCATGGTCCGTATGGACCTCAGGCTGAGCCATAGGCCGGCTGCCTTCAACAGGCGGAACAGTATCAGATGCCATCTCAAAACTACTCTCCCCACAGACGGCGCCAAATGTTTCGGGGGTTTTTGGAGTCCCTCGGGAGAGTTACAATCCTGAGTATGCGCGCCTGACGTCTGTACCTGCAAAACCACGAAACTCCGGTTAGGTGGAGTTTCCCCTCCAACGATCAAGTTAGTATGATTCCGGATGCGTAAAGTGCGGAAAGTAAATGGGTTTTTCTCCCTGATTCAGAGAGATTCCGCAATTAATATTGCTCGGGTTTTGTGTTTGTATATGTGAATCCGTAATAAATGAGGAACTTCCTCTATTTATAGCAGATGAGGATCTGCTCCCCCATTGGAGGTATAATGCCACGTGTCAGCATCCGATTGGATCCCGTTGGGCTTCTGGTGGGCTGCCGCGTGTCGTCATGCTATTGGGCCACGTGGCATAGGGTATTTTTACCCTAAACAAGGCCCAATGAGTTAACAACATCATGTGATCTAGATTTTTTGAGAAATTAGAGTTCATCATATGGGCCAATCATTATATTCCACAAGTGAAATAATTTAGGACAGTTCAAATTATTCAACTCAGCAATGCGGGCATAAGCATATATATATTCACCCTTTTCATAATCTTCATCATTATTATATATTCTAGGTTAGATGATATCATTTATTGTTTGTATGATATGATTAATAGCCTAGATGATATCATTCATTGTTTAGATAATATGATAAATTGTATGGATGATATATTTTAGTGTTTAGGCTAGATGATATGAATAATTTGGTAGATGATATCATTCATTATTTGGATGATATCTTTTAGTGCCTAGGTTGGATGATTTGATTAATTGGTTAGATTATATCATTCATAATTTGAATAATATGATTAATTGTTTGGATAATATCTTTTTGTGTATAGGCTAGATACTATTACTATTGGCTAGATGATATCATTCATGGTTTGGATGATATCTATTAGTCTCTAGGCTAGATTATATGATTAATTGGCTAGATGACATGGTTTATTGTTTGGATGATATCGGTAACTACTTGGATAATTTCTAGGATGGATGATATCATTCATTGTTTGGATAATATCTTTTAGTGTTTAGGTTGGATGATATTAATTAGCAAAATGACATTGTTAATTGTCTGGATAATATCAGTGACTAATTGGATGACACTAGGCGAAAAAACGAATTCCCCACCGGTTCAAACCCCCCCTTTCCCACCAGTTTTGAACCGGGTTGTATTTGGGGGGTGCTAAAACCCCATAGATTTCGCACTGGTTCAAAACCAGTGGGAAAAAGGACTTTTTGCACCGGTTCTTAGGGAAAACCGGTGCCAAAAACTAGACTTTTCGCACCGGTTTTGTCTTAGAAACAGTGCCAAAAGTCTCCAAAAATATTTTTTTTTAAAACTTTTAGCACCGGTTCTTTACCAAAACCGGTGCCAAAAGTGCGCCCAAAAAATAAAAAATAAAACTTGTTTTTTTTTGCATTTTTTTCACTTAAATTGTACCAAATAGTTATATATAATCATAATATACATAAAACACATATATTTTGATCAATAACTTGTAATATTACACTTTAAAAAACTAAAAAAAAAATGGACATATAAACACTAACATATATATTTTCTTCAAAAACAGCATACTGTTTGAGTTCCAGCAGGAGCTGTCCTGGTCTTGTGCTGGTGGCTGCTCTGCTCGCTGCTATGTTGTTTGCTGTCTGACAGTATACAAAAACTAATAGAACTCAGGACTTCAAGGGCGGCAAGAATGCAAAACTGATGCAGAGCAGAGCATTTGTTCTACTGACAGTGACATTGGTGGCAATGGTGTTTGTCTTTGCAGTATCAAATGCCATTTCCCCACCCAAGCTGGTGTCCTCATTTCCAATGGCAGCATTGATGTCCATTGTAGGGGAAGGATTCGAGCTAACTCTAGAGTTAACTGCAGCATGATAAGTCCGTTAGTGCACATCTAACTGTATCAATACAAATAAACATCAGGCATAAATCAAAAGAATCTAAAAATTCTCTATTTTTATAAGTTAAGCCATTAGCTACCAAATCTTGTAAATATCTGAAACTCATTTCTAACTCTTGTAGATACGGGCTGGTTTGTGACTTGTGAGTGCTCAATGTTAACTATTACAGGCCTCTAGACTCAACAATCCTGAATAATACCATACATTGATGCTAGTAGTATATAACGATTCAGGCAAGATACAGAAATTAGAGCTGAAATGTGACCCTTAATAGGAACACCCATTAACACTAGAACTTAGCATACATGCCAGGCATGTTAACTATTACAAGTCACTAGACTTCACAATCCTGAATAATCCCATACATTGATGCTATTAGTGTATAACAATTCTAACAAGATACAGAAATTAGAGCTGACATGTTACCCTTAATAGGAGCAGCCATCAACACTAGAGCTGAGCATACATGCCAGACAGAATAGTGGTCACAGGATCCTACTACTTGTAATGCCAACAATTTAAAGCAAGAAAAGAGATCCTGGGGTGTGTTAGAAAAAAGGTGAACCTGCACATCATCCTGAAAGAATCAAGTACCTGTCCTTTAAAAGTGTTGGCTCTTGGGATTATTTTACTGGTTTTGATGCTGAGTTGAAGACAGCAGTAATATTGAACTGGAAGAAAAGCTCGCAATCAAAGCTGTATATTACATGATATACTGAGTCAATATAGCAGTTATGTCTTCATAATAATACCGCAAATTTCATGGTAAATGCTATAACTTTTGATGTTATTGTGAATGAAATTTTGTTGAAAGTTTCTTGTAGATGCTCAAATGAGCTTAGAGAAGTGATAGTGATGTAAGGTGGTGATTGCTTAGCAGGTTTTGTCTGCCTGCAAGCTTTTAGTTCTGTTGTTCTGGAGGTCTGTATTAAGCATTTTCAGTTTGGCATTATTAATAAACTCTCTAACTAATTGATGAAGAAATGAAAAGAAAAAAAAACTCATGCATCTTAAATGATCCTTTTTAAAAGCGCAGTATTCAGATCTATGCGATTACTCTGATATATTAGTAGTTCTATAGAACACTTACACTTAATTCCTAGTTCAAAATCTTGAGGATGAGCTTATAACACTTGATTCAACTTTTGTGCACAATACAACTTAACTTCTATTCAGAGTTTTGCAACAAAATTGGCCTGACTATAACTAATGCCAAAATGATCCAGGGATAACTAAATCTGGAAAAATAAATGCATATAATTAGCCATAAACACATGGAACCCCAATATCAAATCCTTTAATCAAAAGGAAGCATCAAGTCCCAACTCCCAAGCCCTTAAATCCCAAGGACATCACAAGCAAAATAAAATGTCAAAGCTGTTGGGACACACTAAAAACAGAAACTAACTGGCCAAAAGAACTTTCAGTTAATTGAAATGAAGCATTCATGTAAACACCCAGAAAAGCAAGGATATGAACACAACATCTCAGAAATGCAAAACTATGCTACCATAAGTACCTTAGCTAGTCTGGTTAAACCATCCTTAACTTTGGGAATGATCAAAATGTGTATAGGAGCTTGTGGATTGATATCCCGAAAAGCATGAACCTGGTTCAATCCATTCAAAGTCAGATTAAACAACATAGACCTTCAGAGCTTCAATACCCTCCCCCCCCCCCCCCCCAAAAAAAAAAAAAAAGTAGCGTAGTCCTAACACTCATTACTAACCCCAGAAAATGAACTCCTAAAAATTTATAGTAGAAGACAAACAAGTGTCAAGGTCACAGAATCAGAAATATCATCGGTAATATTAAATGCTTACAATGAACTGGTCCTCAAAGTATTAGAGGGTCAGCCAGAGCAATACCTGAAGAGTACCATCTTCACCAAAAGGACCATGGATGACAGGAAACACAATATCAACTGAAGCAGCAAGGTGTTCCACAAAATCTGACAAGCAGCGAAAACCTTGAGCAAGGCTGAGAACAGTAAAAACAAACAATTCATTTTATGGAATCACCGCTAAATTCTCATGAAAGATGATTAATAAAACAAAAGTTAGAACTACACACCTTTCAAGCTTAAAATCAAAATCCGAAGGGGTGTTTGAATAGAGCTGCAAGTAGTAAGAGAGAAACAGATTAGCTCAATATGTTTGTTGCTGTTTGCATGCTACAAAGACAATATCTTTCTGCCAAAATTATCAAATGCATTCCTAAATTCCCAACCCCAACTTCAGAAGTGAACATATTCTACAGAAAACAATATGATTTCCTTTCATTTCTTTGTAACTCAAATAAAAATCATAAAAGCTCTTGACAGTAAAACGCTCATTCCATAAAACAAATTAACATTAAAATAGTTCATCCAAACAACTTAATTTTTTATTTTTTTTTTTACCAAATGATCCATTTACACAGAGCAATTACAACTTGCAATCACTGAAGCATGGCAACAGTTTAAAGGTTTTTCGACTTTCCATGGAACCGAATTATCAAATGTACTCAACATAATTCCGTACTTCCTTTGTGTATTCGTACAATAGTTGTATAAAAATAGATAAGCAAGCTAAGCAGTTGACCTGAGCAGAAGATATGGCATAAGCATTGAGCTCACTGTCAATGTAGTAGCAGCTAACACACAAATCATCTCCCTGATAACATCATCAACAAAACATATCACAACACTTATACGATTGTACCACAAATCCACAATGTGCATTCCGTAATCCGGTCATCATTTCGATTTATATCATTGCTTTTTATGTCTCTCTAAACACCGAAAAATAAGTATCTTCAATTGAAATGACTATTAGTAATCAATCTTTTTGCGTTTTCATACCATAAGTTGTACACCAATTTCCCACTTCTAAAGAATCAAATTGACCTAGAAAAAAAAAATCAACCAATACAGAAAACACCAATATTCTATTCACTATAGCAAGAATTTAACTTAGTTCCGCAAAATAAATTTTAAATCTAACTCAATGCCATCATATTCTACTTAATACAGATAAATTTAACTCAATGGAATAAAATAAATTTCAAAATTTTCAACATATACAATAACAAGAGTTCACGAATTATATATTAACAACAATAATGTATGTACATAAATTGAAAGAAACCTGACGAAATTGAATTGCATGACATTCTTCCAATTAACCCTTAATTGGAAAACCCTTAATTTCTTCCAATTAACAGCCTCGAGAAATTAGAAAACCCTTAATTTCTTCCAATTAACCTCAATTGGCAAAAATCACTCAAACATAGAACAAATTCATGAGCAAATCCATTAAAAATCAATCCAATAACACATGAATAACACAACCAGATTCGACAACCCTAAAACAACAACAACAAAATCAACCAACAATTCATCAATCGCAAAGAAGATTAAAATCAAGAACAGCTAAAAAAAACAAAATCAAAACCAAAAGGAAGCGAAATCGAAGCAAACCAAGAGCAGCTTCAATGGAGGTGAGAAAGCTCAGATTCGGCTTCAATGGAGAATATAGAGCACGATTCAATGGAGGCGGAGGTGCTGCTTCAATGGAGTGAGAAAGCTAGGGCAATTCGGGATTCTGGATAGAGAACGAAGGCGAAAACGAGAGGGAAATTAAAAGTACAGAACATGGAAAGAAAGAAAGAAAGAAAGAAGAAGAAAAGCAGCCCGGTTTTTTTTTTGTATTTCGTAATTCGCACCGGTTTGAACCGGTGCGAAAAATATGATTTCGCACCGGTCTATTAGGAACCGGTGGGAAAAAATTTCCCCAATCCCGCCCATTTCTTTTCCCACCGGTTTTCAAGAACCGGTGCGTAAAGTGCGCTGCGTAATTCATTTTTTCTACTAGTGTGATATCATTAGTTTTTCTAGGTTGGATGATATTTATAATTGTCTAAGCTAGATGATATGCATGATTAATTAGTTGGATGACATGGTTAATTGTCTGAATTATATTTGTAACTATTTGGATGATTTCATTATAATTGGTTTAACATTTTAAAGGTTGGGCTTTCCTTATTTAAGGTTTGTCACACAAAGAAATTGGTTGGCAAGTCTCACCCAATAGCTTCTCTTTATATATATGTATATATTATTTAACATGTGTTTGTTTGCTTTGATGATGTAAAAAAGAAAAAATGAAATGTAAATTGAAGAATAAATTTGGAATGTGATATTTGAAATCTTTTTTATGTAATGTTTTAAGGATATTTACTATATTATCATGATATAAATAATATGTACTTTTTTATATATAATTTGGAAACGATAAATATAAAATATCAATCAATTAATCAAACAAAGCCTTAATCCCTAAAGTGGGGTCGGCTACATGATCAAAAGTGATTATTTCGTTTAGTCATCCATAAAAATCTTCCTCCTCCATGCTCCATCCCTTATGATCAAATGCCTCACTCTCATGTAAATCTATACGCTTCCTATCCTTCGTAACTCCTTCCAACCAAGTCATTTTCGATCTTCCTCTCCCTCGTTTAAGCCCTCCATGGTCCCACTCTTCCACTCTTCGTAGTAGTTCACCCTCGGGTCTTTGTCTTACATGCCTGAACTAACGTAGGCAATTTTCCGTTTGTCTGTAATTCCTGCCACACCCACTTTCTTGCGAATAACCCTATTTCTGATTATATCTCTTAGAGTGTTTCGACACATCCATCTTAACATGCGCATTTCCGTAACCCCCATCTTTTTAATGTTCTCCTTCTTAGAAGCCCAACATTTCGTACCATAAAGCAACACTGATCTTATAGCAGTGATGTATAATTTCCCCTGTAACTGTAAAGGAATGCTTCGATCACATAACACTCCCGTGGCCGCTCTCCATTTAAGCCACCCCGACAACATCTTGTGTGCCACGTATTGATCAATTTCACCATTCTGGATGATCAACCCAAGATATTTAAAACATTCACTCATGGTTAAGTCCTTTCCATCCAAGCACTCTACATCACTGTTTGTCCCTCACAGGCTAAAGTCTTATCACCTAATCAAAAGAATTACCTAAGTTCCCTAACTAAAGTAGATAGGGAAGTAGGGTCGAATCCACAGGTAAACAAGTCTTTCTATTCCTAAATAATTAATATTATTTAAACTATTAAGTAACAAATTATTTTTATGAGAATTAAACTAAGGGAAAGTAAATAAACTAAAGCAAATTAAACCAGGGAGAAATCAATAAATCAAAGCCTAGGGTATAGGTTCACCAGTAAATAATATTCCTGGGTGAAACACAACAATCAATTATCAATGCATCAATTAATCAGATTATAACGGGCTTTCGCTACGTATTACAATCACAGAATTAATCTACCGGTATTAAATTGCATCTCTCGAATCTTGACTTAACCATTTATAAATTGACCTGCCTATTGAAACTAAGCCTGGAACATCAATTCTCATCTCTCGAATCTCAAATTAATATTGCATGAATCGTATAATTAAACCTGGCCAAATCTAATTGCATAGCATTAAATCAATCAATAGAAAATCAATCAAAGCATTGAAAATAAACAATAATAAATCACCCCTTCATATTATTTATGGATCCCCACGAACCCTAGAAATAAAACTACTCACACATAATTAAATCTAAACTAAGCAAAGCAATAAAACAAGACATGATTAAAAGAAGCAATTAAATTACTGAAAGTAAAGGGGAAAGAAATCGTTACCAAAATAAACGGAAATATAAAATTGCATAAACCAAAAGCGTTGAGAGAAAAAGAGTATTAATCAAAAGCTTAAAACTAAAATCTGGAAAATAACTAATAAAAAGACGTAATCAAATCTCTCTTGGCAAAGCGTATTTATACTTAAGCTAGAAATCCTAAACTTAAACGAAGTAAAAATCGTCATTAAGCTCCTCAGAAACACGCCCCCGGTCGAGCGCCATCTCGCCCGTCGGGCCCGCCTTCGGCTGGTGAACTCTCTCTCGCGTGCCTTAGGGCGAGGAATGTCTCCTTCCTATCTTCCTCGCCCGGCTGGGCGTGCCTTAGGGCGAGGTTCCCCGGTGGGGCGAGCATCCGTGCAACTTAGACTTCTTCGATTGGGCTGTTTCTCTGCCCAATCCGGATTTCCTCTTTGGGTCCTTAACACTCGGTCCATTACCTTGGTCTCTTCTTCTTCACCAAGCCCTTAATCTCCGATTTGATTGCTCCAACATGGTCTTGGGCTACGAAATATGGTCATATGAATACGATCCTACTCCAATGCTCGTAGGGGCTCAAATAAGTCCGGGAAAATGCTCCAAATCCGCAATTTCCTATAAAATAATACCAAGACTACGAAAACACTAGAAAACGCATATTAGTAATAAAAGTGGCTCCATAGAGCCAAAAATACTCCTAAATGACCAAGGTATGGGGGTAAAATATTATATAAAATATACATATCAGTCCCCCTTTGTGAACCAAAGCGACATAACCAAACATTCAGTCTTACTCCGACTTAACTTAAACCCTCTAGATTCCAACCTTTCCCACCATTACTCCAATTTAGCGTTAACCTCATCTTTAGTTTCATCCACCAAAATGATATCATCCGCAAACAATACACTTGTTGACACATCCCGATACATATCCTTAATTGGACCACATACCTTCGTGGAATACCTTTCTTCAACATTGCCCAGATTTAGTTTAATATGCGGAAGAGATTAGTTGACCAAATAGGAAGGAATATACATCAATAAATAGAAATTCACTCATGACTTTATGTTCAATAACATAATTATTACGAAGTATATTTTTCATATAAAAATTGTGCGATGCATCATTAGGATCCAAAAACCAGAGTATTTAATGAAAACAAATAAATAAATAAATAAATAAGGTTAATGGGTGTGTGTACAATGAGTGAGTTTTTGAGAGAGTGTATATGGTACACATGGATATACTAGTTGATATTTTTTTAACGTAAAATATAGACACATCACATGCCATACATGCATGACACCAACGCAAAATATGTGTGTGTGGAGGCGTGTTGTGTGTGAATGCACCCAAAATTGTTTGATATCGTCAAGACGGGTAGTTTTTATAAACAAGATTTGACTCTATATTTGTTAGATACTCCATATAAAGGGTATTCCGTGTATGATATAAATATATAACGGTATTATAAGTTAAGAGGATTGTTGGTTGTTGAGTATATGCTTTAACTTCATTTTTTCAATATTAAAGTTAAGATTTTAGAAATTAAAAAATTATATTATTTAATTTTTTTTTCATTTGCAAAAGCTACATATTTAATACATGCATATATCTTGTAACTATACACATCAAAAATTCATATATTGGACCTTAAGTTGAAATCTGATTTAAAAAAAAAAAAAAAAAAAAAAAAAAAAAAAAAAAAAAAAGAGGAGTCATGGTGCGTTATCACGACAATAACAAGATTAATATAGCATAACAATTGAGTTGTGAATGCTAAGCTTTAATTGAACAAGTTATAAAATTATAAAACGATAAAGTTTCGAAACAAAAAACTTTCAATTTTATTCATAGATTTCCCGTAAGAAATGTGTAAATTTTGGCATCCATACAAACAAAGCAACATTATTCTTAACATTATTTGTATGGATTAGTTTTGGGCTTTGGGCCCTTTTGGCAATCTCTGGGTTAATCTCCTTCATCTTCTCATTACATAAGACCAAAATACCCTGCACCTCTTCCATTGACATATCTTCCATTTTCATTGTCCCTCGAATGAGTAATGTGCACAAGATTTCTATCCTGACTCTCACAAGATCGCTCATAAGGTTTGAACGTTAGCGTTTGCCTCAGACATGGTAGTTCTGAATTAGAGTGTTTGTAAGAAGGATGTGATTTGAGATTCACTTAAATATATTAGCCTATTTATAGAGGTTCAACTAATGTTAAGAAACTATTTGAATATTTTATATTTTCATGACATTTTCAATGTAATAAATGTAAAAAAAAAAAAAAAATAACTGTTGTAAAATTTCCCTATATTGCTCAACAATATGTTGGAAAAATATCATTATGGATTTCTTACCAAAATTTGAATATCATCACTTAACAAATAACGTGTAAGACTACATACCTTTTTTCATAAATTGATGAAACGAAATTATTTATATTGATTAAAACTTATTTTTCCTATAATACGCGCAATAGGAACGAAAAAAAAAAATTCTAGTTAGTCTCCCCATCCATTTTTTTCTCTGCCATGTCTTAAACCTTAAGGTTTTTTGTTTTAGGGTTTTTGTTGTGTCCCGTGGGAGAGTTACAACACCAAGACTAATTCGCTTGACGCCTTGTACCAAAAACAAATGGAAGCTTCTGTTGTTCAGAAATCCGCCTCCAACGATCAAGATAGTATCGGACGAGGAGATAAACAGAAAGTAAAAGTGGAAAGTAAAAGGTCGTTTTCTTGGTTTTCGAGGAAGTGTATTAAATGATGTTGTAATATTTGATGAATAGTGAATCCTATCCCACTGTCACAAATGTGCATTATTTATAAGAGTGTGGGATTACGTACCCCCTTAGGTCATTTTAACCTAGGTAAATGGGATGCGTCGTTTTTACGGCTCCTCGGAATTTGGACCTAAAAGATGTCATTTCCTCAATGACGATGGGTGCCACGTGTCATGCGCTGGTTGGCTCATTTTGAGTGTGGGCCTAGGGTGACACGTGTCACCTTTTGATTGGGCCACGTGTCTAGGGTAATTTTTACCCTAAACATTTGCCCCTTATAGAGGTGACGTGGTTGTGCATGTGGCACTTGTAACACTTGTCAGGCGCGTGGCTAGGGGACCATTATTTTAACCGGTTACCTTCCTCTGATTTTACTGATCTGCTTGGTTTTGCCTCTCTATAAATAGGAGTTTTCAACCCCACCCCACCCCCCCCTCACTTCTTACATTTTCAAAAAGTCTAGAGAGAGAATTTGAGAGCTTTCGTAGAGAGATATTTGACCGAGCCACCGTCTATGATCGCCACTTGTTAATAGTCGTCTAACACTTTACAAATTTCAAGCTTATTTATTTTTCAAGGTAACAGTCTCTCTCCATTTTTTTCTATATTTATCTTTCGTCTATGCCATTTTCCTTTGCATTGTTTCAAATGGTTTTACAAACACACACGACACGGCCTAGGATAGTTGTCAGCCGGTTTCTAGGGATTTTGGGGAGGTGAGAGTCAGGGTGGGGGAGGAGGAGATGAGCTGGTCGCCGACATCGGGGGAGTGGGTCTTTATACTGACAGGAGAATGGGGTGGCGCCGGCAGATGGTAGGGGGCTGGCTACTGATGGACCAGTGAAGGAGGGTGGTATGGTTTTTTTAAAAAATAATTTAAGTATTAAAAAATTGAAAAAACTAACCATAGTTAATAAACTTAATAGCAATTTTTCTGTGTGGCTGGCCATACTTTTACTTATTCAAAGGTTACTTGTAGGGGTTACTTATTCAGAGGTTACTTATTGTAGGGTTTACTTACTCAAGGGTTACTTGTAGGGGTTACTTATTCAGGGGTTACTTATAGGAACTACTTGTAGGGGTTATTTAATCAAACGATTAGCGCGTTTTCTATGTGAGAGTAACCTCTGATCGACCGGGTAACCCTTGAATAAGTAACCCCTATAATTTACCCCTGACCAAACGAGTAACCCTTGAATAAGTAACCCTACAAGTAACCCCTGACCAAACGGTAACCCTCTATAAGTAACCCCGGCCACACTGTGTGGCCAGCCACATACAAAAAATTGTGTAATTTTAATGAAAACATTTATTCTCTTTGGTAATCAATAATATAAGGTTGTCAAAGATAATAGATCTTTTGCAATTCACCAAAGAGAAATATAAAAAGTTCGATATGTGTCAACTATGTGTAATACAATATACATGTATATTCACACAATTCGTAAATTTATATATTATTTCTGTTTCAGGTTATTTGCAACGATTAGGCATTTTCTACTCGCACTTTATGTCAAATCGTTACAAATAATATGAAAATAGAGGTAGTATAATTTAATATAATTTATTTCGTTTCATATCTTATTAACTAAATTATATTTGAACTCTAATATTCATGCATTGCATAGGCTTAAAATTAGTATATATATTAGGAAAAATTGTCGGGAATAATCCGACCTTTGCCTCATTCGCCCAAAATAATCACACTTTTCGATTATTTTTTAATAATTCGACCTTTATACCCAATCCGTTAAAAATGGTCCCAATCGGTCATGTAACTAACAAGTTACTTAATACGTGTCGACCTATGATTTGTTAAAAAATAAAAATAAAATAAATTTTATAAAAAAAAAAAGGATAATTTTTTTTAAAGAAAAAAAAAATTAATTATTTACAAAACCACCCACAGCCCAAGCGGCCTTTCCCTGCCGCCTAACTCCCCTACCCCGTGGCTCCGGCCACCCAGACCTCCAACCCCAGCGCTAGCACCAGCGTTGGCGTCACGGTCGATCCCCCTCACATAAACCACCAACCCGCCTCCCTTACACACGAAAACCCAGGCAGCGCCGCTTAAAGCACTGGCGAGCCATAAAACAATTCCCCACCCTTGAAAACCCCATATCAATCTCGACTTCGACACCTCTCCCCTTCCCCGTTCTGATTCCGCTGGTCGATTGCCTGACTCCCCTACGCCGTGGGATTCAGACCCCTCTTCCTTCAACAACCCCGTTTTTTGGGATTTGGGTTGGTGGGATTTCGAAGGAGTTTTGGAATTGGTTGGGGTGGTTCTGATCGGCGCAGTCAGTTTTGGGCTGGGAGTGGCTTTTTGGTCCGGTGGGGATGGTGGTGGCTGAAGTAGATTGGCTTAGGTGGTGCCCGTGGTGGTGGTTTTTTTTTTAATTAGATTTTACTTTTTTTTAACTCTGATTAATTTTTTGTTTTTTTTGTTATTTTTTTTTTTACCAATCATGTGGTGACACGTGTAAATTAAAGTTAAAAAAAAAAATAAAAATTACCTACTCACCGGTAACAGGTCACTTGGGGCCATTTTAAGAAGATTGGCATTAATGGTGGGATTATTTTAGGCTGATGAGGCAAAAGGTTGGATTTTAGCTTACAATTTTTCCTATATATAAATAAAAACATTGGAAATTCTCTGTATAATCATGCAAATATACTTTCATAAAAAACAGTGTAATAATTTTCTTAATGAAATACATTTTTGTTTTGTACTAAATTATTTTTATTTTGTAAATCATTAGAAAAGTGTATTTATATGTTTTTTTTATTAATTTATATAAATGAATTTATTTACATTTGATTTGAACAAATTCCTAGATTAGTCACTGCCTCACAAAATTACATATAAGCTCATCATCAATTATCACCTACCAAATGAGCCATAAGAGTTAATACTATAGGCAGATTGACTGCTGATGAAGTTGCCTCGAACTCCATGTAGTGTTGATGTGTGAGGAAGGCCAAATAATGGTTGGGAGCCTTTTGCTTTCCACTAGATGAGGGAAATCAGTGGTATAGTGAAGGCCACGGCTTTCAGTTCTTGATAAAGCACTGCTAACTACCAACTTGGCACAACAAAAGAGATTCCTCATTTCACAAGCTTCAAGTCCAACCATTGTTGGCTTCCATCCATGTTGAAACAAGTATTCCTCCCATTTAACTTCCAACCTGGCGATTTTCTGCTCTGCAGTCGTTAGTCTAGCTGTGGACCTTACAATTCCAACATATGTCCACATAACGGCTTGCAGTTCTTTCCTAATTTCTTTTGTCTTAGTTATGAGTTTTCCAAGTACATCATCACCAAGTGATGTAGCAACCATTGGTTTTGCCCACCTATCAGAAGCATTTAAATTGAGTTTTGAGTTACACATATGGTCTATTGCAGGCTGCACAGCTCTTCTTGCAAAAACTAAGGCTTCGAGTAATGAATTACTTGCGAGCCGATTAGCTCCATGCAAGCCTGTGCAAGCAACCTCTCCTGCAACGTAGAGGCCTGTCACATTTGTTTCCCCTTGGAGCCCAGCTCGAACTCCTCCACACATGTAATGAGCAGCAGGGACCACAGGAATTGGGTGTCGTGTTATGTCAAGGCCAAACTTGAGACATTCAGCTGCAATGTTAGGAAAATGAGAAAGGATTTCATCCTGTGGTTTGTGACTAATGTCAAGGAGAACGTATTTCTCATTTCGCTTTTTCAATTGATCATCTATACTTCTTGCAACCACATCTCTCGGTGCAAGCTCCATTCTCTCGTCATACAGAGGCATAAATCTTTCCATGTCCGAATTGTAAAGGATCCCTCCATCTCCCCTCACAGCTTCTGTTATAAGAAATGCATTTTCTCGGGCCTTCACTGGTGATACAGGAAGGCCTTCATCTGCTAAGGCTGTTGGGTGAAACTGAACAAACCTTGGTGAAAAAAAAAAAAAGAACTACAAATTAGTATAATCAGATAAAATATTCAAGGTCAAAAAGTGGAAGCGACATCAGAATTTCTTACTCCATATTTGCGATTACGGCTTGGGCTCGATGGGCCATAGCAACTCCGTCTCCAGTTGCTACCTACATTTATTTTTAGTCAGATGAAAGAAATTGTCTATGAAGATAGACAAGTATCTCATATAACAACACAAGCAGTAAAAGAGACTATGCCTTCCAAAAAATGGATCCCCTTATGAAGGATATAACTGTAAAGCAACTAATACCAGAGGATTTGTCGTGGTTGGGTAGATATGACCAGCACCACCAGATGCAAGTAAAGTCACTTTTGATAGAAATCGCACCACCTGGTATTGGTAAGGATAATCAATAACAAGGATGAACTACTCTCAATACAAAAAGTGAGCATATAAAATTTCAATTACCTCCAGTGTTTCAGTATTTAAAGTGTCAACACCATGACAAGCAGTGTTGGAACCATCCTGAAAGAACAACTACTCATTAGTCTAGTTTCAGACACTTTCTTTATTTTATATTCTATATAAGAAGTGCTTTTGGTAAGAATATGAGTGGATAATAGTATACGTAGTATATTATATTAGACATCTGACTATTCAAAATGAAGTACGGTTTTAACTTTTCACAAGACTGCTGTGCATAACACCTTTTATAAAGTTCACAAGCAACGACACTCAATGATGAAAGCTAAACTAAAAGTTATGCCCCACATAAAGTTTGCAACTCTATCAGTTCTAGCCTGCTTAAATTGAATATTTTCTTATTTGTTTGTGCATGTTGGAGGTGAAGGGTGGGGATGAGCGGGGCGGAGGGTGGAAGTTCCATTGTATGTCTGTGTAACAATGTGTGCAAATGTATCCAAAACTCCAAAACTCCAAACCACCAACAGTTAGTTCACTTTCATCCTTAATTCCTTTCTGAAAAAACCTGTAAGTACATTTCTATTAATTAAACCCCTTAGTGAAAAGTGAAACTATGTCCACCAAAATGACCACAATTTTAGCCAAAGATTTTGCAATTTTAGGTAATAATATCATCAGACTAAGTTAATGGATGACATAGATTCACATAATGCAATCATTATGAGCCAAGAGACAGGCAGTGTAATCAAGAACAATCCAATTTAAAATAACTTCTTATGGTTCTTTCATCTAGGAATTAGGATGCTAAACCATAAAGGGTAGTGAACGGAAAGACAAATGCAGAATTTAACCTGGGAAGTCAATAGATCGATAGCAAAATGGTGTTGAAACAAGAAAATGTTAGGGTCCCTGACAGCCGCTTCTAATAGTGCCCTCTCTATTTCCCTTCCAGTCATATCAGCCGCATGAACAATTCTGCGATGGGAATGCCCACCCTCCCTAGCTAGGTGCAAATTTCCATCATCGCCATGATCAAAGGATGCTCCGATTGCAATAAGTTCTCTAATTCTTTCTGGGCCTTCAGTGCATACCACCTGAACAAAACCAAACAAGTTTAGCATAAGCTCAATAATGACCTTAAGAGTTCATACTTCATAGTATTGGAAACTATAGAAAATTACTAGTTGATCCATTACAGACAGGGAAGAAAAATGTTTTGTCTGCAACAAGAACATAAAAACATCGATATGAACTATGGGCTATTTAATGGCTTCACGATGATCATAGATATTAGAAATCATGTGAGCATCTGCATGAACTTTTTAAAAATGAAGTTATGACCTATAGCCTTCACAGATCACAGGTAATATTGTTGAGGCAATAATACAACCGTAAGGAAAACAACGAAAGATGGAAAAAGACTTTTCATGTCCCCAAATATACAAGCCAATCAGGCCTGCACTACTTGAACAATATTCTACCTCCAAGGTTCTTGTGATACTTGAGTTTAAAAAAAGCTGTCTGTACCAAATTAAAATGAAAGGACTTCATGTAAACAGTTTGATTCCAACGAGCTGAAAATAAAAGAGAGCCAGAAATATATGGTAAATATTCAAGTATTCAACTACAGAACTGACACAATACATATATATTGTTTACAACCAACGACTTTAATGCCAAAAAATGAAAATATAATAGATCATGAAAGGCAATACACACGGAGAAAATTAGATAGCAACTGCTCTGTGTCCATGTTCACCATTTTTTATCTCTTCTTTCACTGTTTGGCTCCTTTAAACTGTATCCTTGATCCACGGTCAGCTAAAGTTTGATTGACTAATTAGAAATTACTAAGAGGTGAATCACGTGACCTGCTGATTAATCTTGTTTGATCTATTTGGTTATGTTGACCTTGGGAGACAATGGTGTCTGTGAAGCTGTGAACTAAAAAGGCTTTATATAGCCATAGTAAGTACATTGTACATACTACTTTTTTAAAGTTAACGTCTGAATGAGATGGTTCATATTTTAAAAATCAAAATAAATTGTGATTATCCTCTGCAATTGATTCAAACACATGATGGAAGAGCTTCCAACATAATTCCCACAATGTTAGCATATTTCCGTGATGGAAACAATTGCTAGCCAACTACATTTGCTTCATCATCTATGACAAGGCGTACAAGCTACATCTCCAAAATTTTGAGCAGCACACCAAGCACAAATTTGAAAAACATGGGAAAGCACATCACATTCACATACTGTACTCAATTGGATGCCCCAAGAAGGGCAAAACTTCAAAGTAAATGGTATTGTTGATTTAGCAAATACAATTAACCACAATGAACAAGGAAATCTTACAACTTCGGCTATCAATGCAAAACTTGAATGATGATGACAAAAGGAGTATGACAAAAGGAGTAGAATGTGTCTTTCATATGTCAGTTAAAAGATAATTCTTTGTCTTCCCCCCTGCCCTCCCCCCACCCCCCTCTTAACACAACAATCCCTATACTGACATACATGATACATTTTAAGACATTCATAAAGATGCAAAAACAGTAAAAAGGCTAAAGATATATCAGCAGCCATATATAATGGCCCTATGTCACTCAAATCTATTGTGACAGTCTCCACACAGACAATCGCCAATAAGTACTAACAAGGAATGTGTTAAACTTACCCTGACGGTCTCCTCGTTACATAGATGAGCTCCCGCAATAATGGTATCTTGCATGTGACTTTCTACAGAATCCGAAGGAGATAGCACTGCACTAACACCACCTTGAGCATAGTTTGTATTGCTCTCATGAGGTTCAGCCTTGGTTATCACAGCAACAGTTCCATGCTTTGCAACTTCAAGAGCATACCGAAGGCCAGCAACCCCACTTCCAATCACTGCAAAATCAAAATACATCGAGGTTCTATCACTCAAGGATGCAGTTATTGCTGCTAGAGTTTTCCTCTGCTTTCCCAATTTAGTGAATGCAGCATTCTGATGAGGGTAAAACAATCTGGATCCCAAGACTGCACAAGACCTGGAGTAACCAAGAATTCCATAGGCATTAGAAACAAATGAGAGGCTTTTCTATTTCTTATAAGTGGAACAAATATACTGATAAGGGGAATATCCCAGTCTTACTAACGCTATTAGGTATTAGCATTTTTGGTGACAACATAGAGATGCAAATGAAACAGCAACATGAACTGTCAACTAAACGACACCAGAAAGGTATTCACTATAGGCTTAATCCATAAATAATCAAAACTGTGTTAATGGTGTCGTTCTTTGCAGTGTATGAGTATGAATTCTGTTACGGGATCTACAAAAAATCTAGTATACGACTAAATATTGTATAAGATGATCTCACAATCATTTATTACCTTTTCTCATAATAACGTTTAATGTCTCAAAAAGTGAGAGACAACGACTTCACTAAAAACTTTAGGAGTAAACCTAGAGCACAATGCCCATGAAAAACATACAATCTTCAAAACACAAGTTCAAATTGTTTCATACAAGGTGGCAACAAAGCTTCTAAAGTATAAAAACAACACAGATAAATGAAATGATAAATACCACAAGCAAGAGAAGAATCTGTACAATCTGAGCACCTACTACTACATCAAACAAGCAACAAATACAATGTTGTCACCCCGACAAAATCCATGTTAAAATTCACAATTGATCAGTCTCACACACATGAATATTAAAATGCTTAATGATATAACACTGAATCCAATGACTTTAGTAAAACCGCTAATTGACTTATTTGTTTCATCCCAACGGTTTACAATTCATGTATGCAATATTGATCAACATCGAATATTAACAACAACAACAACAACAACAAGAAGATTGTACCATGAAAGCTCTGATCTTGCAGATCCCGAGAATGCGATTCGAGAAACCCTCCAAGTATGATTGTTGACAGATTTTCCTTCAAACAGGGGCTTCTCAGAAAGTACATGTTTACCAATTGTTCCTACTGCTGCCATTTTTACTTCCTAAAAAGTACAAAACCACAATTCAACAACATAATTAATTTCAGAAGTATTTAAACAAATGTATTAAGTCAATAAATACATATTTTGATGTATAATTCAGGAAAATTTGGAACTGAAATTATTCATTCCTTATGCATGTCCTGCATGTCTTGCTTAAGAATTTACCTTTTCTTTTGCAAGCAATTTTTGTGTGAAACGTCTAACATCAACAAATTCCGTATTAAATTAAATTTATTCCATACTTTGAGAGCACTAAAAAAATTAAATTAAAAATTTTTTTGAAAAAAAAATAAAATAAAATAAAATATAAAAAACTCAGCAAAGTCAAATTTAAAACCCAAAAATAAAAAGAATTCAGAAAATTCAAAAATTAAGAAGAGAGAAAAAGAGGGGATTGAAAATTTAGTAGGAAGAAAATTAGAATTTGTAAAAACAAAAAAACTATGCAGTCAACTTAAACAACAAATACATTGAATAAAATTGTGAGAATTATCGGAGATTAAGGCATAAAAATGGGTAAATTGACGAACCTGAAGAGAATTGAGAATGTTTGGAGTGAGAAAGAGAGAGATTGAATTGAATCAAATTGACAGGCTTCAGAATAAGAATATGAATATGAATATGAATATGGGGTACATTTTCTTCTTCTTGTTCAACTTTGTTGAGTATTATTTTATATATTGACTGATACTAATATTACATTATTTGGAACCGCATATAATTCAACCCGATTCTATACGGACTATACCCCATAATCGGCATGGTGTCACCAAGCAAGGCTCATTGGTGGTGAGGTTCTCTTACCCCCATGTCCATGTCCCCGCTTAGAAGTGTCAATTTGAAGGATCGGATCGAATCTGATGAGGTCGGATCAGATCGGGTCAATTTTTAAATTATTGTATTCACGCGAGTCTAATTCTGAATCGGATATTTTTTGACTCGGTTTCGGATCGGGTCGGGCCGAGTCGGGTATTGTTTTGACACCTCTCTCCCCACTCTTTTGGGGTCTTATCTGATAATTTGAGACGGTAAAAATTGTACCATATAAGTCTTGTATAAGGCAGGTTACGTTAATTTATTGTAAAACTATCTATCTGACGATAACTTTAATAATTTAATATTAACTTTTAACTTAGAATGAGTTTGATTGTATTTTAATGTGTAATTTTCTAATGGATATATTATACGAAAGATTATATGATTAATCTAGTGTACATTAAGTATTTTTAAAATGCAATATTTATATTAGAAAAAATGGTAACTTTAAACCGTCTTATAATATGTATAACGCATTTTGTGTGCAGCTGACCACGCCATGTAACCGCTTGTAAAAAAAAACAAAGTAACCCTTATAACAATGACCAAGTAAACATTGTAATTGTGGCCGAGTAACCCTTACAACATTAACGAAGTAACCCTAATTATAACTAGCCACATCGTGTGGCCAACTTGGCGACAACTAGGTATTTTTGTGACACATATGATGCTAAGTAAGCGGTTTTTGAATAGATTTTTTAAGATAAAAATGGTGTACATAATTTTATTATCACTATACTTCTAATATTTCATACATACAAAATTAATCATAACTTTTAATAAATATCCTGTAACTCGGTTTTATTTCCATCATAAAATTGGTTATCAAAAAAATCTTTAAATGAGATCTATTTATAATAAATTTAATTTAGTTAAAAAAAATAATAGAGAATCAGTAAAAATAAATTATAATCAGTAAAAATAATTTTGGTTTGGTAAAGATAATTTCAGTTCAGTAAAAATAATTTCAGTTCAATAACAATGATTTTAAGTCAATTATAATTTAGATATCTATTTACAAACAAAACTACAAAAATGAACATTCAAGACAAAAAGTTTATCCAATAAAATATTCAACAATCCGGGCATCGTTCGGGCACAAAACTACAAAAAGTAAACTATTATATAAATAAGCGATATGATATCGTATGTCTAAATATTCTGCATTATCAAAAGAGATTATATGATCGTATTTTACATTCAGGGATTTGCTAAAATGAGAAATGAGAAAATAAGAAAACCACTAATCCCTTGACACATCATTTTGGTTTAAAATTCAAATTCCCCCTCTTTTTATTCTTAACTTTCTCATATTTTGATAATAACATATATTAGGATATTATTAGCTTTTTCATTTCTCATTCTAGCAATTTCCTTACATTCAAACTAAAAAATTTTAAAATTTTTTATTAACAATTTGAATATCGCCCGGACATAAAATTAGTATATATATATATTACAGGAGGAGGGACATGAATGATATAAAGAGAAGGGTAGCGCCGACTTGAGTTTAGTACAGTAATTTAGAAGTGTTGAAATACGTGCCTGTTTTCAGTCATTATATAATCTTGTGGAAAGAAAAAGAATAGTTGTTCAAGTTGACTACTAACCGTAATTGACAATGACATTGAATATTTCCATCTTTGTTGCTCAACTAGATGGAGTTAGGATGGATGCTGGGTGGCTTTTTTATGGTAGATTGCTATTATTTCTATTTTCTACTTTGGACTTCCACCACTTATTTAAAGGGGAAAAAGTGCATTAAAGTTGCCTACTACTGTTTGGTTGTTCAGATTCGTGGTGGGCTCAGTCGCAAAGAAAAGCCCGCGTATGAAGCATCGTTGTCCTTTTTTTTTTCTTAAGTGTTACACTTAGATTGTTTTTTAAGTGTATTTTTAATTATGATAAACAACTATATTTTAATCTCCCTTTGTTTTATTATAATGGCAACACTTTTCCTTTTACATGTTTTATAATTATTGCAACACACGAGTAACCTCTGACCGACCGAATAACCCCTAATCAAGTAATCCCTGACCGAGTGAGTAACCCCTGATTGATCGAGTAACCCTTGACCAAGTGACCCCAACCATTCTTTCCAATATATATATATATATATATATATATATATATATATATATATATATATATATATATATATATATATATATATATATATATATATATTTGGTTGGCCACACGATGTGGCCAGCCACATACGAAAGTTTGTATTTATTATTTCTCTTTCCCACTAACTTCACGTACATAATTATTTTTCTCTCCTACTAACCCACTTATACTACTTTTTTTTTTTTTTAATTATTCCTCTCTCCTATGAACAATTAAATATATCTCCATTAATTATACTTTATATTATAAAAGTCATTTTGTGGTCTCAACACTATGAATTTCCTATACCTTTGTGCAAGGCATGCTATTGCAATTATATATTATGAAACGAAGGGAGTATTATTTTTATCTCTTCTTATGGTCTACACTCAAATCCACTACATTTTTTTTTAATTTTCTCCCCTCTCTCGTTCCTAACTTTTCAGCAAAGTATAAAGTCCCATTAAAAAAAAAAAAAACAATATTTATAAAGTCCACTATCTTATTTTTCAAAAAAGTATAAACTTCACTATCTTATTTTAATACTCCAAGTCCCCAACTACCACACTTATCTTTTACTTCCTCCGTTCCAATAATATTGCAACAAGGATGAAATTACCCATCCTAATTTGGGCATTTTTACCCAGCCACGTGGACCAGCCAGAGCGTGACACGTGTCGCTCTAGGGAGGGTCCAAACTGGACTTACCGGGGCATGACACGTGGCAATCAGATACCCCAAGGAAATGGCCGCCTTCAGGGCCTAATTCCCGAGAAAGCCGTAAAACGGCGTAGCCCATCATTCCTAGGTCGAAGTGACTTAGGTAAGGGCACAAATCTCAATGACCCTATAAATAGGGAGATTTACCCCATCTTGGGGACACGTTCAATCATTACATTCATTCATTTATTACCTTGCAATCAATTCTCTTACAACAGAGAAAACACCTGATCTCGGAATCCGAGAAAATATTTTACTATCTGCTTTTTTACTCCTAACACTTTCTAACTTGATCGTCGGAGGCGGAACTCCGATTAACCGGAGCTTCCACTGTTTTGCAGGTACAACCGGCCGGAAAATCAGTCTTGGTGACGTAACTCTCCCGAGGGACACAAAAAAACCCCGAAACATTTGGCGTCGTCTGTGGGGAGAGTACATCTAAGATAGTTTCTCAAGAGACTGTACCGCCTCCTAAGGATAAGCAGCCTACGGCTGAGGTCTTTTCAGACCATGATACAGAGGATGAAGATCCAGAGGTTGAGGTATTATGGCTAAAGATGGATCCCTCAAGATCAGACGCATCCGTTCCAAAGACAACAGGGAACGGGGCGACAACCATGCGGCTCCGAGTAAGTCATCCGGCCAGGCGGCAGGATAGGCTGCTCACATCACCCGAGACGAGTTCATGCAATTCATGACAAGTTTCAAGGGAGAGATGAAAAACCTAATCACTAAGAGGACGGTTGGTCCCAACAAGGGTCAGTCAGCCAAGAAGCCCTCTAACTCTGATAAGGCTAAGTCGGTCAAAGACAGGGAGCCCACTTCGCATCCTAAAACAAACGAGGGGATCCGGCCTTTGATTGATTAGTCCAAGTTCCACTTCCCCGAGCCGGGAAAAGAGGAAGGCCATCCGGCATACTCAGTCGGATGGTAGTAAGAAAACTTTTTCTGATGCTCGATTCTTCATTAAGCATAAGAAGAACCAGCAACTGTCTGATTCGGCTTCAACGTCTAGTTTTCCAGACAACTTCAAGAATACCTCGATGAGGTATTCTCAATCAGTGCATGAGAACCAGTTAGGCGGCCCGTCCGTCCACATAGGTCCTCATGTGATCAGCTCGGCCCAGTATGTGCCCCAGCAGCCATAGGCCGTATGCGCAGCCTTACCTGCAGCCTGCCCTCTTCGGGGGTCAGGCGGCATATAACGTAGAGGTGATCATTAGGCGGGCCGAAGCTAAAAAAATATTCCCACTTCTCGGGCCGGGTTAAGCTTCGGGCCGGAATTTTTGTGCCCAAACCCGCCCAAAATGGTCGGGCTGCGCGGGTTTTTCGGGCCATTTTCGGGCCGAGCCTAAAAAATAAACTAAATATGCATAAAAACGCATTCCCAAACCCACCCAAAGTAAATAAATTTTCGGGCCGAAAAATTCTGCCCAAAATCGGGTCGGGCCAACGGGCAGGGCCATACTTGATCAGTTCTAATATAACTTCCAACCATTGGACTGGCAGCTCCGTATGCTAAAACTTGGAGAATAACTTTCTGCGTTCTCCAAGGAAATAACCGAGGCGGCGCAGCCGGCCAAGGTGAAAAATGTCATGGTGGGTACTTATGATGGTACCACCAACCCAGAGGACCACCTGTTGGCATGCACCCACCTCATGTATTTACAGGGGTTGGATGACGCTGCATGGTGTAGATGCTTCCCAACCACATTGAAAGGCATTGCCTAATAATGGTTCGGCAACCTGCAGGCTGGGTGCATCAATAATTTCAAGACGCTTGCGTTCTTGTTTGCCTCTAACTTCTCCATGAACATACCCGCTAAAAAGACAAGCCTTGACTTGGGCGCGGTACAACAGGGAGACAGGGAGGGGCTCCGTCCATATGTTAGGTGGTTCAATTTGGTGAGAATCCAGATCTAGGGACTGTCTGACAATGTTGCTTACACAAACTTCTTTAAGGGTCTGAAAGACGGGTCAGCTTTCAAGTTCGACCTTGTCCGG